ACCAAAGTCCGCAGATCAATGGCTTTAGACCTGATGGTATCTGAGCATTTCTTTCTGCGTGCTGAATAGTTGTTAAGGATGATCCCGAAGCTGCTTTTTTCTAAATCTATCATGCATCTTATGATGATACCTTCTTCATCTCACCGGGGTCATGGCGCAGTGGTAGGAATTCGAAACCAAAGTTGGTACTTTGCAAAACAGTTTCACTTGACTGCTAATTCCCTTGAACAAAGAATTCAAGCCACGTTGCTTTGGTGGAGTGGCCGAGAAACTGGTAGCAGGTTGATTTTCGAATAATAGGAGCAGTCTGATGTTCCCGTGTGATCTTACCAGAATGGGCCAGAGATATAATGCATCAAATGCAAGAGTCTGTGACAACAGTATCATTTTGCCTGGCCGCTGACTAGCACAAATGGTAATCAGTACATGATATATTCCCTAAAAATATAATAAGCGAAAACGCTCACATAGGTCGTGTTTTGGTCAAAAGTGGACAGTCATCTAGTATTCTTATGACGTTAAAATTTGAATTCGCGGATCTCAGTTTACGGTCGTCATATAGCTTTGAGGTTCCTTAAATTTTTTTGACTTATGTTTTAGGCTTTTGTGTGCCATTAGCGCACCAAGCTCATGTTTAACGCCGTTTAACAACAATTTTGCCATGACTTCAATCATCAAACTGGAAGTGATCTCTGGTGCGTACGATGACCTGCCGGTTTGCTACTTGCTGCAAGTTGACGAGTTTCATTTTCTACTCGATTGTGGTTGGGACGAGACGTTTGACATGCATATAATCGAAACGTTGCAGAAGAGAATCCAGCAGATCGACGCCGTGTTGCTGTCCTTCGCCGACATACCCCATCTCGGCGCTCTGCCCTACCTAGTTGGTAAATGTAATTTGAACTGTCCGATATACGCCACGGTGCCGGTCTACAAAATGGGTCAGATGTTCATGTATGATTGGTATCAGTCGCATCAGAACGTCGAGGACTTCGAGGTAAGGCTTTCCACGTTCTAGAGTTGCGTAGCAGTGGTATGATGGATGTTCTGTCACAGGTGTTTTCGTTGGACGATGTTGATGTGGCGTTCGACAAAGTCCAGCAGCTGAAGTACTCACAGAACGTGTCGTTAAAAGGGCGTGGTCATGGCCTGCAGATCACGCCGCTGCCTGCCGGCCATATGATCGGGGGTACGATTTGGAGGATCACAAAGATGGGAGAGGAGGAGATCGTGTACGCGATCGATTTCAACCACAAAAAGGAGCGCCACCTGAACGGCTGTTCCTTCGAGTCGATCGTCCGGCCGAATTTGCTAATCTTCGACGCCTTCAATGCCTATTACCTTCAAGCCCGTCGTAAGCAACGGGACGAGGCGCTGCTGACCAACATTCTGCAGACGGTTCGCAACGGTGGTAACGTATTGCTGGTGATCGATACCGCAGGCCGGGTTCTGGAATTGGCCCAGCTGCTCGACCAGGTCAGTTCGACTCTGTTTTCCTCTTTCTACATGGATTCTCCTCTGGTTGTCAGTGGGGTCTTTGTTCTTTCATGCAATCCGGTTAAAGGCATAGATGTAGTGGGGCATATTGGCTCCTGGCGGAATTCTCATTGTTCCATTTGTTGCTTTTTAAATTATGCATTATGCGTTACATTCCACCGATGCTTTACTGAACAAATGATGCCACCGGGTGCTGCTTTTCATTGCCCCTGGGCAGTTTGTAGTCTTCTGGATGGTGCTATTGCAGCTTTGGCTAGAGATTACCAGGGTCGTGATTGGCGGTACCTTCGAAGTTTCGCAAAACTCAGTGACATTGCACATTACCTACGGTCAGCGGCCCACATGCAGCTAGATATTGGCGGAAGAGACTATCATTCGTTGACATCAAGCGTGACTGTAATCGTCAAACAACGTCTTAATCTCATATCAGTGCCGTGCCATAACTCGTTGAAACTGGATACATCTTCTGACTCCGTAGTTGGCATGTTTTTTCTTTTTTGTTTTTTTTCATTTTGCTGTTAGAAGGTGTTCACTGCGTGGACGAAGAAAATATTCATAATTGATTCCGCTTTTTTTTCGTACCCTATGATGTACTGGTCGCAGATGGTTCCTCGTCCTTGTTTGGATTTGCGCGTTAGGGATGATTTGATATTAGCTAGGCTTTGCTGCAGTTAATCGAACAATATCGTTTTCTTGTCTCAGATTTTTTGATGTCCGTGAGTTCAGCCAGTGCCGAAGTGTCCAGATTCAGTTGTCGTGGTCGTTTCTAATGTGATCGGGTCATCTGTTCTTCAGTAGGCATATCTGTTGCTTCTTGATAATT